TTTGGCATAGTTTTTATTTAGTAAACTACATTTTCGTCTCGTCACTTTTCGTCAACGATATTACATGATGATTTCGTTACAGTTATTGTTTACTGCCGTCGGTGCCGTCTCGTCATCGTCTCGTTTTCGTCATGGAAAAAAAGGTCGTTGACGAACATATTTCGTCATAGTTTTGTTCAACGAAATTAACACTACCCGGCAGGAGCTTCCAGCAGACCCCCCCGCGCGGTTCCCTCGTCCCTCGGAAGAGGCGGAGAGTTGGGTGTTTTTCATCTGCTGGCGGACTGCCGGGGAGAACGCGCTGCTCGGGAGCCAGGCTCAGAGTGAGTGGCAGTGGGTGCCCGCGCACCTGCCTTTTACAGCGGGAGCACGAGCTGGTCTCGGGGAGGGAGAGAAGAGAGGAGCGGAGGCTGCGGAAACAGCCAGGGCCCTCCCCTCAAACACACCCCTCAATTTTGACAAGACAAACAGCAAGAAGAGTCCCCTTTCGACTCCCCTTGCATTCCTCCAGAGACCAGTTTGGACTTAAAGTTAAGAACCAGGCTGGGGGGGTCTCCAGGCATCAGATAACCAGAGTAAAGGGGTGAAAATGGAGAAATTGTATCCCAAAATAGTGTCTCTTAAGGCGGATAGAGTCCCCTGACAACTCTCCTTACCTTCCTCCAGAGTCAGAAAAACTCTAAGTTACCTTTTGGAAGAACCAGAGAAAAGGGTGAAAATGGATAAAATGTATCCCAAAATAGTGTCTCTTAAGGCGGATAGAGTCCCCTGACAACTCTCCTTACCTTCCTCCAGAGTCAGAAAAACTCTAAGTTATCTTTTGGGAGAACCAGAGGAAAGGGGTGAAAATGGAGAAATTGTATCCCAAAATAGTGTCTCATAATTCCCTGACAACTCCCCTTGAATTCCTCCAGAGACCAGTTCAAAAACTTAAAGTTTGGTAAGAACCATGATTGGGGGTCCTCCAGGCAACAATTGTATCCGATCCAAAGTGCTCATGTAGCGGATGCATTCCTCCATGATTTCTCCATCATGTGATATAGCCCGTTTTTTTCTAAGTGCTCTCAAAAACCGGGTTTCCGATTTCGTGCAGATGGTAGCTTGGAAAAGATGAATGAATTTTTTCGACGGAGGAAGGGAGGTCTCGATTCCCCTCTCCGTTGTAAAATGCAACGTGGGGGTGCAAATGTCTCCGGGGCTTCCGCCGGAAGTGCCGAAGACTTGAGCTTTTTGTAGCCCCTCCTCCGTTGGCACTTAGCCGTTTTTTCGAGAATTTCGAAAATCATGCATACTTCCATAACCTCGCACACCGTGAGACCCCGGACCCCCGGACTTAAGCACTCCCCCACGGACTAAACACAGATGTTCACACCCTCCAGAACCTCATGCCCCTGGTGACATTTAAAGGTGGTGGATTTTGCGGTGCTTTACTGTCCGCCCACCAGCATCCATATTCGGCCTTATTCACAGCAGCACCACCCACCCTCCTGTGGAGGATGTTCTCATGGCCCTGGTAACACTTAAAGGAGGTGGATTTTGTGGTGCTTTATCGTCCGCACACCAGCATCAATATTCGGCCTTATTCACAGCAGCACCACCCACCCTCCTGTGGAGGATGTTCTCATGGCCCTGGTAACACTTAAAGGTAATGGCTTTTGTGGTGCTTTACTGTCCGCACACCAGCATCAATATTCGGCCTTATTCACAGCACCACCTGCCCTGCTGGAGGTTCACACTTTAACTTTTTTTTTTTACCCTCCTCTGCCTTACACATCCTCCCACACTTGAGCACTCTTCACTCGGACTAAACCCCTCCATGCACACCCAGACTGCACCCAGAGAACAGGCTGCTTCACAGCACTTTGCAAGCCAGGAAAAGTGATTGAATCCTGGGTATACATGTTTAATTGTTTAAGTGTTTTTAAATGTGTGAAAACAGTGTTTTGTCACTTTCAAAACTCTCCCTTCATTGCCCGGAGAAATTGGGTCGATGTTGTATTCAATCTGACCGTTAATATTCCAGTGAGACGAAGTACGTACAATGACCGGAGTGATCCCATGTTAATTTTGTCCCAATACCGGAGCATTCCCTAACCCTATCTATTTGTTGGGGACTAATTTCAGTGGTGGGTTAATCCATATTTATTGTTCTAATAATGTTTGCAGAACAGTGTATGTGATGAGTGTATGAAACAACATAATGTGTTCATTGTAGGAAACATTCATTGAGTTTTTGGAAATCTCAGAATCATTACCAATGAAAAGTTAATGTTGCTGCTCACGAATAATTCACAAGGCCTGACATCAATCTTGGGAGTTACTTGATCAAGTTAAAAGAGCAATAAGCAGAGACAAGCCGTGTCAGGAGAGTTTAGTGTGCAGTCAGTGTAATGAGTCCATTCATTCCCTGAGAGTAACTCAGGGAAACTGCAAGCAGTTTGCTTTTCAAACTGGAACAAGAAAGCAGCGGAGAAGTAACGGGGCAGAAACCCTCCTTTTTACGCAGCGGTCCAGACATAGACATCAAACGACAAAACATATTCAGTGTGCAGTTCCTTTGGCATTAGGGCAGGGATATCTAGATACTTTCCAAGGTTTGACATAATGAGTTGTGCTACTTTTAAAGCAAGCAACGTTGTTTTCAAATCTGTAATCAAAGAGGTCCGCAAAAACGCTATCGACCAATCAGAATGATTTGACTTGTCCACTTTATAAATATATTTACATTTCTTCCGTTACGAAACAAACTTACAAAGCATAAGATGGAAACATTTAAGATTAACTTCGACCTCCAGGGGGGTCTTACTATGGAGGAGTGGATTGAGGAGTGCCTATCTCCAGAAAAAAAATTACCTAAACGACGACATGCAGAGCTACGTGAAGAGCAGGTAGACGAACTGGAAAAGTACCACCATTCAAAAGCTTTCTGATGCGGGTCTTGAAACAAAGCAGAGAAATGATGACCGTTAGTGGCCACAGGTGCGAAAGCTCTCTCCAGAGCTACTGAAAGCCAAATCTCGGGGACCGGAGAAAGTGGAGCAATATTCTCGCCACGCCAAGAAACAGCCTAGAACAACCTAAACCTATAAAAGTAACCACGTAAGCCATTCTATTGATGCTGGACAGTTTTTCAGTGGGTGCAACATACAAATGAATGTAAATAAATAGCCAAATAATGGATCAAGGCTCTCTGTCTAATATGTTTGCTAGCTGTTAGTGTTGTTGCATAGCAACCACCTCGCACTATGTTTCGTGCAGAAGGCAATGGAGGGACTATTTTATTTTTAACATCATTATTTACTAATAAAAACTATTTAAATTAGAGTGTGTATTTTTCTTTCATATTGCCACACTTGGTAACCGTTTTATAAAAGCAATAGCTCACTTCAGGCATATACCACGGCCTGTCGGGGCTCTCAGGTTAAGTATACGACAGTGCCATAGCTAAATGTTTTAGGTCTAAAGGTGTGTTTTGCTCTGCTCACCGGTCCCTCACAGCGGGCAGAGCTGCAGGTGCTGATCTCTCTCTCTCGCGCGCGTCCGGTTATACTTCACTCGCGTTTATGTCCAAATCCATCAGAAAACCAAGTTATGTTTTAAGCATGAAAGCTGTAGGCCTATAGCTGTCTTCTGTTCAAACTGTGATCACCAGTTCAAGACATTTGACAAATTCGACTTGGTTTCTATTAGGGCTGTACCGCTGTACCAGAATATCCGAATATTCGTTCGTTGGAGTACTATTCGGGTTTCAATTTCGTTATTCGGATATTCTTTTTTTTAAATGTATTTATTTTTTATTTATTGAAATCTCCAATATCAACGTAAGAGCTTGTGCCTCTTCGGGGGGTGCTAACACTTAACCATAAATGCTATCGTTTACTTTCTCCGTCTTTTTATGTAGATATTACTTTTTCTCCATTAATCTCCGTCACGTTGTTTCCATAGCAACAACAACTTCCTGTCAACTGCGCTAACTCTCCTTCAAAATAAAAGCATGTCCATACAAAATAGAAAGCCAAGCCAAATTACACTTAAGACATATACAACTGCAACAAAAGTAACAAACACAATGGAATATCCTTTTTAATTTCAAAGAACACAAATTGGGTTGTATACATTAACAAATAACTATAAAACAACAATACTCTAGAATAACCAAAATACACGTGTCGAAGCGGTTCGCTGCTGATTACTACGTGGCCATAATCTTGCAGCCCTACAAATGAACTGAGATTTCCACACACATATTTTAAGCTATACTACTACGCCGGACCAATACAAAGCAGGGTTTTAAGGATAGGATAATGTCACTACTCACGTAGTTGTTTTTAACTGTTCTTTGCTAAGTGTGCAGAGAAATGTTGATTTAAAATGTCAATTTGAAGGTTGGATACATTTTGTGTGCATATATTAATATTTAAGATGTAAATTAATCCCAGTTTAATGTTACTATTAAAAATACTTTCTATTTTTATTGTCTCATTTGGCGGCATCAATGTATGCATTTGATACGGCTACAGGAGGAGTAGCTCTAGGATTGGGTCTCATAAATAGCTCTTAAGGTCAAAATAATGAGGTCCTCGATTTCATGCTAGGCGCTGGAAGATGCCGCTTCCGATGGCATGCACTCGGTTCTCATTGGAATCAATTGAAAAAATATTACATTTCTGGCTAGCTGATTTAAACCTTTCTATTGAACATATTTTAGGCATGATATGTTTTTATGATGACTTGATCAACTTTCTTAAAGCATGTTGTTCGCATACAAACTCTCATTGTTCTTTCTCTTTCTTTCTCACTTATTCTTTTTGTACCTAGACAGCCTGACAGATGCTCTCTGACGTGGAAATGACTAAGTCACAAGAGTGCATTTAGAGCGGGGAACCTCTGAACAGCGACAGAGACTTGTCTGGCTCCTGAATAGAGAGGGATGCCTCTTTTATTTAAATACTTAATGGCATTCTGAAGTCTTTCTCAAACAGCGTAGAGCGGAAACCAACCTGAGATCGTGCTCTCATTCTCATCTTGCGCTCTCTCCGGTCCTGGACGGTGGACAGGTAGTTGACGACGGCGTATTCCAACACAGACAGGAAGACAAAGACGAAGCTGACCCACAGGTAGATGTCCACCGCCTTGATGTAGGACACCCGGGGCATGGACGCATTCACTCCAGTGATGATGGTGGACATGGTCAGCACCGTGGTGATGCCTGGACACAAAGACAAAAAGTCCTCATTAACTGCAGGTTGAGATTTCAGAGTGTAGTACAGTATAATCATGGTGCTGACTCGATGTGGGGCAGCTCAACTATAGGGTTCAAAGCAATAACAACACAACACAATATAATGCAATGTGTTCCAACAGCCCTGTAATGAATACAAACCTGCAGGGATGTTAAGATTCACCGATTCGCATCGGTGCACCGGCATAAACGTTCAAGATGCGAGTGCACCGGTTGAAAGAGTGCACATCGGCTACAGTTTGGGTTGAACTCGCGATGCATCGATTGTAGTGTCTTTGCATCGGTAAAAAACCGATTCATTCATATAATATCCTCTCATCCTGTCAACCCTCAGCAGAGACGATCTTTGATCTTTGCTTCGCACTACGGAGGCCGAGTCTCAGTGATCAACACACATGGAAGTCGAGGAGAAAGAGAAACACAGTGCACCGAAAAATACCTACAAATCAAACGTTTGGCAACACTTGGATTGCAGAGTATGAATGTCCTCTTATTATTTTCAGACGATATGTGTGTAAAGTTTGTGAAGGCAGGAGGAAAAAGCTTCCGCGATCACCGTCTCCTCTGTTCCTCCAAACCCGCCCCCCCTGAAAATAATGAGTGACAGGCTGATTAACCTAATAGAAACTTTATTATACACTTAATCACTGATTGAGATATAATGAAGCTAACTTAATCTCATACATTCATGGGATTTATGTAACAGTAAGACAGAGAATGTAAGTGTGCACCCACATGCACTATTTTAGTTTGATATGCTGTTGTAAATACTCCTGTTGTCTGCTGTGTTCAGACTCAAGTCCTGTGTGTGATGACACATTCAGGACATTCAGTGTCCTTTCTTTAACAGAAGACCGTTGCTAGAAGCTGCAGCTAGACTGCAGAAGCATTAGTTTTTTGTTTTGAGGATGGAAGAATTTCACACACAGATACTGTATCGGGATGCTAGAGCTATTCAATTGATTTATTTTGGTTTATAAATTAATGTCAAGACATTTATGTTATTGATTTCTGAAGCACTTTCTAAATAATAAAAAGAGAGTTCATATGTATTTACTGCATGTATTCATTGATGAAAAATAAGCCATGTGCAGTAATATAGAACATTGAGGATGCAACGCATTGGTATGAATCGTGATGCATCGGGATATCGAATTGAATCGGTGACAGGATAATCGTAATCGGATCGAATTGTGAGACCAGTGAAGATGCACAGCCCTAGTCTCGGCACCGTCACATAAATGGAGAAGGAAAATAACTCTGGTTATTTTAAACCCTAGATTTAAAATAAGGGCTTTAAGAGTGATCATACTGGTTTATTTAGCTAAGATCTGCTGATTTATAGACTTGTCTTTCCCAATGTAAGTCAATGGGAAAAGGTACAATGGCACAATGAGGCCACAGACTGACAGGAAGCTGTAATACCACCGTTTGACCACTACAAACATTCGTTTTGCGGTCCAATGCACTTCCTGGGGGCTTGGTTCTGATTAGAAGACTCAATTAAGAATCACTAAAATATGCAGACCTGAGGACAGTTGACAGAAGAGATAGTGGCATACAATATGACTGCTTATATGTATTTGTTTGTATTAGTTATCTTCTGTTTTCCTTGGTCAAGTCAAAATCAAGGAAGCTGGAGACGAACACATCGTCTCCAGCTTCCTTTATTTTTGGTACTCCGCTCATTGAATTTTCATCTCTAGAAAGTATCATCTTGTCTGCCCTATCACTTTCCTTCTCTGCTTCCCAACTTTGGTCCATGCCTTCATTACATCCAGAATCCACTTCTGCAGCAGCATCCACACTCCGAAATAAACTCCAGAACATCCAGAACGCTGCTGTCCGTTTGCTGTCCCACGCCGTTTACTGTGATCATCTCTCTCCACCAGAACCTTCACTGGCTCCCTGCGCCTCAATGGATCCATTTATAGTCCTTCGACTGTTGTTGTGTGTGTTGTCATCTTTGGTCATTTTAACTTAACAATGTAAAAGATTGCTACCACATTGCTCCTTAAGGTGACGGCTAAGCACACAGGTAGCTGCTAACAGTGCTAAAGATGCTAACGGTGCTAACACCCCTACGCTGAAAAAACTGAACCGTTGACTTTAATTAAATTTCACATAACTGTATTATAGCCTATATAATACTACTAATAATAATAATAATAATAGTGAGATTGTAGAGTACTAAATGTATTCAATATTTAGTTATATTGTTTATCATTTAGCTAATCATAGGGATATGTGTATTTTTCTATTGTGAATTTGTATATAGTTGCTGCTACTATCAATTATAATGTTTCATTTTACATTGTATTCTTACTATATATAGTTGTCACTAATGTACATTTATTTTGTAATTATATTTGTATCTTAAACATTTTTAACTTGTGTAATGCTTGACACTGCTGCTGGAGAAAAAATAATGTCCCAATATTGGATAAATAAAGTATATTTATCAGATGTTACTCAAACATTAGGACATTTTAGGGGACTATTTCAGCAGTGGATTAATACACATTTGGCGCTCTACTGAGTATTTGTGGCAGAAGAACGTGTGTATTTGAGATTGGATAGGATTATATATTACCAATAGAAAAGAGAAAAACAAACTGCATTGAAGTTATAAATCAGGTATACAAATATCACAACCTTCGTACAGCCAAGTGTATGAGCCATGAGAGGACCTTGGGGGGGGGGGTGGGGGGGTTTGTTCCAAATGTGTGGAGCCATGTCACAGCCAGCTTTCATCATCCCACAGTCCCATCTGACCGGGGGCACCCAAATCTCTTCAAAGGACATTTGACACAAGTTTTTAAAAGCACATTTCTTACCCAGGGAGACTCTGGCCGGCACGGCGCGGCGGTCGATCCAGAAGGACACCCATGAGAGCATCACCATGAGCGTGGCGGGGAAATATGTCTGCAGCAGGAAGAAGAAGATGTAGCGGCGCAGCGTGAAGTTGATGTACAGACGATTGTACCAGCCTGAAACACAAAAAGTTCAAGATCAAGCAAAGATTCCAAAATGAACAAACTGGTAACACAAGACAGGGTCAATGTGCTTATTAAAACACTGTAGAGGCTTCTCAATTCTTAAATTTCCCCTCCTCGACTCCTCTCCTCGAGACTTAGTCCCGCCCACAGGAGATGCGAGCGGAGGAGCCGAGGAGGGGAGCCGAGGAGAAAGGAGGGGAAGCAGCAGGCGGTTAGAGAAATGAGAACTCCTCTCCTCTGAGCGGTCATTTTAAAGAGACGTCCATTAATGATGACAGGAGGCACAGCAGCCCTCTGTCTGATGGACAGATGTGTTCATGACGACTTATATATTTACTTTGATTCATTCACAGTGCGGTATAATGAGACAATAACAGGCTACAGATGCGGGGACACACACACACAAATATATTTATATAAATATATACAATTTAAAGTATGAGAGCACTCTCATAATAACGTAACACAATCAGAGACTGGATATATCCCCCCCCCCCCTCTCTATGGTCGCTGAAGTGGGGAATTGAAATGACGGGCCAAAAGTTGTATTTACAAGTATTAACAGTAAGCATATAACACCAAACCCACTGAGACCTGTCTGTCCGCCGCATCTACGCACTGTACCACACACACATCTACGCACTGTACAACACACACACCTTCACACTGTACCACACACACCTACACACTGTACCACACACACCTACACACACTGTACCACACACACCTACAGCTCCTAAAGCATAATCAGGCTACAGCCGTTGTGTATTTTATTATGTGAAGCACTAATGGTTTTAGAAAAATATCGACTCTGTTTGTATATATCTACTACTAAATTATTTATTGAATTATTGTTTTTATGTGTTATATTTGATGAAAAAATATTAAGAGTACATACTTTCATAGGGGGAAAGTAGAAGGTCAATGATAGAAATATAGAATATAAAAAATTGACTATAAGAAGATACTATAAGTGATCTCTACAATAAAACAGTTTAGTGCCGGATGTACAAAGATATTAATAGGAGGATGTGCAAAACAGAAAAACGAATTAACCTTTATTTAAAGATTAAATAATACTTTAGGTTAAGGTCTTCTTTTAAATAAGAAAAACACTTTGGGGGTATCTATCTACAGATAAATATTAAGCCTGACAAAGTACTTAATTAACGTCTAATGTTTTGTTTTCCTGCAATGTTAACTATGTTGAAGTACTTATTTTAACTGATATTATACACATTAATTATACTCTGATGTATGTAGATAGAATAAGAAATGTGCAGAATATGACAGTTTAATGGTGGAGGTACACACATATTGATAGATGTCTTGTAATGCACTGTTGAGGAACCTGCGACCCAAGTTTTTCATTCATTGCATAACTACACTGTAGTTGTGTATATATGTCAATGAACATTGACATATTTTGGATAGTCTGGCGTGGTTTCATTCCATTTCAAACAGCTGTTTGACGCTCGGCGTAACCTTGGCGCACTGCCACTCCAACATCCAATCCCAGAGCTTGAAGATTAATCACGGGGACAGTAGTCCTAAACTATAGCTGGGGATTATGGGTAGTGTAGTGTCTTGGGCCATCCTAAACTCAGAAATGTTTTACGGATTTCATATCGCATTAACACCATATCCCTACATGCATTGCGGCTAAAACATCCAATCAGCGAGCTTAAACCATAGCTGAGGATCTTGGGTAATCAGTTCAGTGGCTGTATATCGCAATGATGCTCGAAATGTCCCTTATAGGCCTACGTCTGTTTCCGGTTATTTTTATTTTGAAATTCAGTTCCTGACGGACGCCAAAAAAGCCCGAGATTATGGAATTAAACAAATAAATAAAAACAAGGATAATTGTGTGTTATTGGTGAGTAAATAACAGTGTGTTATTTAGAAGAGAATAACAAATTAGAAGGAAAAAAAGATTTTAAAAATACAGATTTATTTTCCTCACAGACGACAAAAAAGTCCGACATGATACGATTTAAAAATAAAAACAGTAATCGTGGCTTGATATTGAGTAAGAACATGTGTTTATGAAGCCCACAGCTTCCGGTCTTCCAAGACACGAACGGACAAAAAGACGTGCTGCAGGCACGAAACATACTACCAATAGAAATACATTGCTTTTAAAATCGTTCTGTGTGACACGAAAAAAAGGGGAAAATCGTGTTGGTGAACACGAATCAATAGATTAAATGTCGTGACTATAACACGAAATGCCATGAGACTGGGTTGATTATACACACTGCTCTGCTTTCTGCACGGACCTCACAGCTGTTCTCAGTGTAAACATCGCGTTGCGATGAAAGCAGTTACTAAAATAATATCCAGGAGATGCATGCAGAGCTGTCATTGGCTGAGATAAGTCCGGCCGTGTGTCACGCCTCCACCGTTCCCGGAAATGCATCCGCGGAGGAGCCGTGGAGGAACCATCAGTGTATCCTCGGTTATAGCTCCTCCAGAGAGCCTCCTCGACGCTCGATGCTCGGTCCTCGAAGTGCATTTAGAGAAATGAGATGTCCTTCAAAATGGCGCGCTGAAATTCATTTCCGGGTCACTACCTGAGGACCGAGGAGTTGAAGGTTGCGGTCGAATAATAAAAAAAATCAGCTCTTAACGTCTAACCCTTTCGTCTATTCCTTGATCTCTGAGTGAAACGTCACGGGGTTAAGGGATAGTGGATAGGAGAATTCAAAAGGACTTAGGAGAAGAGACTGCGGTACTTTAGAGAATCCGACTGCACTTTCACTATCCGACGTGTTTATGATGCGCCAGCGGACTAGGGGTGCAACAACTAATCGACTTAATCGATTAAAATCGATGACCAAATTAGTTGCCAACTAATTCAGTCGTCGATTCGTTGGTGACGTCATCACGTGTGTTTTACGCGCCGTTAAGCTCCAACGTTATCGGTCTTTTTATCGGTACTGGAGACATTTAAAAAATATATGTCATATGTGTTATTGCTACATAAACATTATATCGCAGTCTTAGTGTCGCCAACTCGTTTCTAACATGCAAAAAGACAAAAAAATGCGTCTGTGTATTTACGATCTTTCCAATCGAGACGAGATCTCTCTCTCCCGAGGGGGCGGGGCAGTTTACACACACTCGGCTGCTACATGCATGCAACACACGGCGGGGATGGCGGAGAGAAGCGCTCCGAGGTGTGGTTAAATGTTACCCGTCTCGATGTGGAGAATGCACGTTACCAAGAGTGCAATAAGAGTTTAGCATGTAAGGGCGGGAACACGAGCAATTTGTCTAAACATTTAGCAAAGGTGCACCACATTCAGACGGAGGAATGCACCGGGTTCGACTGTCTTTCTAGTAGCTCTGTAGCCCCATCCACGAGTAACGTTTCCACGTCAGGTGTTATGTATGCTAGCAGCAACACACGGAGTTAACTACATTATACAAACATGGGTTAATGATTAGAGGAAACTGAGTTACTCTTTATTTTGTTAAAGTTTCAGATATTCTGTTTACAATTATGTTATCACATTATACGATTTGTTAAAACATTGTTGCTTCTTTTGAAATATTATGTATTTAATTTAAATAAAAAGCTATGTTAATTTTGTTCACAATTTGTTTAGTTAATTTAATAATATATGTATTTTTGAATCAAGTATTCATCTTTATTGTCTTCATTGTTAGTTTCCACATGCCTAAAACAACCTCAAGCTAAATCTAAAAGTTGATGGCTAAACAAGAGGGTTTGAGAAATTGTGCAAGGCATACAGTAATAGTCTGAATAGTCCATGAATCGTTTCATTAATCGATTATCAAATTAGTCGTTTGTTGCAGCCCTACAGCGGACGTCATTTTGTGCGTCTGCTGCTGTGGGGAAACTATGGAAACTACAGTTTTCTATACAGCGGACTACAACATGGATGTTTAATAAGAAGGAGGGACTACTGTAAACTCATCTAGAGACTCTGCACCGTGCTCTGATGCTGTTGCTTTATGCTTTATGAACGTGGACAACAGAGAAACATATTCTTCATGACCAAAGTTGGAATTGAAATAAAAAAGGAAAGTGAAACTTATGCTCGTCGTCACCCTCTCCCTCCGGTCCACATTAATACAAATGATCCCAATACGTATGATTGTATGAAAAGATCTTAAAATCAATACAAATGTATTTATTATAAACGTTAGTCCTTAACATCTATCACTGTGTATATCACCATTCAAACATCTTTTAAAAGTTGAACAAACCCCACACAGCTCAGTAAAGACTGTGAGATGTAGACTTTATTTGATCATTTCAGTAAAAACTAACGTTCATATTTCTCTTTTTGATTATAATACTGATGAACGTTCAGAACAAAGCACTTTGGCAACTTACCACATACGTTTTAAAAAGCTTAATAAGCACCGTAACTTTCATGATATAATTTCTCCGTCATAATCGGTTGTTTCCGTGAACGGCCGACTGTTGAGTGACGGCAAATGCTGCGGCTGCAATGCATTGTGGGGCAGCATTTTCTCCTCTCCTTTCGGTAAGGGAGGTCCAGTGGTTCCTAAGCTAAAGGAGGTTATAAAGGAAGTTTGAAACCTCCTTTCCTATCATCTAGAGCAGACGTGTCAAACTCAAGGCCCGCGGGCCAAATGTGGCCCGCCACGTCATTTTATGTGGCCCGCGAGAGCTTAAAAGGTCTGATTGTCTACAAATAAATAAGTCAAATGCGTGCAGTGACCAAAAACTACATTTCCTACAATACATGCCGATTATGTTACCCGCGAAGTGACGGCATCCCGCCACTAGACTGCAGTGTTTCCACATCGATGCGATTTTCCCAACAAGTGGAATTGAGAAATACAAATAATGATGAAAGGGAAGGTGAATACATGTTTGTGCTTCAAGGAGAAAAACCGGTATGTCTTTTGTGTTATGAGGCGGTGGCAGTTGTCAAAGAGTACAATCTACGTCGGCATTTTGAGACCAAACACGGAGCTAAGTATGCCAA